CGGCGGCGCGGATCTGGGCCCGCGCGGGCCCCGGATGGGCTCCGCGGGCCGCGGCGGCGGTGGATTGGCGGCAGACACGTGGCGTGGCCTGGTTGGAGGAGAGGGGCGGTGTGGCGGCGTGGCGTGCCCTGATTGGATGAAGTGAGGTGGCGACTGGACATGTCCGTTGGTGGAAGAAGTGTCCGGCGACGCGGAGAGGACGAAGTGAGGGTTTATCCGCGAAATGATCCGAAATTTCGGGGAGGGGTGCTCTTTTATAGGTAGAGGGAGCTAGGAGAGTCCAAATGAGGTGCGGTTTTCGGCCACGCGATCGTGATTGAACGCTCTAGATGATGGAGGAGGTTTAGGTGGGTTTTGGGCCACTTTGGAGGGGTGTTGGGCTGAAACACACACGAGGCCTTTTTGGTCCCTCGATTAACCGTTGAAGTATGAAACGAAGTCCAAATGGCACGAAACTTGACAGGCGGTCTACAGGTAGTAAACCAAGGCCGCATGGCAAGTCTCGGTCCAATCTGGGAATGTTTAATCCCCACACATGAAAGAAAGTTAGAAATGACCACCGGAGGAGATAGAAGCGCCGGAATGCAAAACGGACAACGGGGAAAATGCTCGGATGCAAGAGACGAACACGTATGCAAATGAAATGCACATGATGACATGATATGCAATGCATGACACGCAAGCAATGACAAGGCAACAACAGCAAATAACTGGCGGACACCTGGCACATCGGTCTCGGGGCGTTACACTTCACATTACTCTGTTACCAAATAAATTGACATATCAGTTGCTAGTTGTGTGCTGCACAATTTCATACGTTTGCATAATGGAGATCTATCTTGGCCTGAGAATACTGCTGTGGAGATTGATTAATAACAATTTGTTGATGTACCAAGTGGAGATCACAAGTATCATAATGACATATGTGCATTTAATTAATCTAGAGAAGCCGGGAATCAAAAGCGAGAAGATATAGCACAACAAATGTGGGCACAGTATGTATCACAAAGATCTTAGAATATGTAATATGTTATCCAAGTCCAGCTACCATTCTTGTAGTTGGAATATCACATGCAAGTTGTAATACCATTCTTGGACTTCAAATTTGCAATAGTACTACAAATTTTCATGCATGCCTAACCAGAAGCCACTCAACATAACTACCAAAATATACTAAACCATCATGGTCAGTTCTATGACCAATTCAACTAAACATAAATATATGACACCTACAGACCAAATCTTCCCTAAAATAGAAGCTATGATCTCAGTGGATCACCACAATGGCTAATTTTGATGGGTTGTTTGGGCACGCACAATCTCTCTTTTAAGCCAAGCCAGTCGTAGTTCATTAGTAGAGTATGACAAGAAAATTTCCCTGTTCTCCTTGCATTTGAAGATATCTGATGCCATCAACATATCTCCTAGTTGTAGACCTTCCAACCCTTCAATTGATGTGATGCACTTGTTGATGGAGTAGGGGTCCTCTAGCTTCTTCTCCTCAATTGCAGCAAATCGATCAATTTTTTCCTTCTTTAGTTTTAGATACTTCTCATGGAAGTCGTCATTAGCACCACGTTTTTGTTTTTTCCCACGCCTAGTGTCATGTTTCTCCATTTGTGTAGATCTTGGTGGGGCTTGCACATGCTGAATTGGTGTAGATAGGAGTGGGGGAGAATCCACATTGAACTCCTCAAGTTTTTCATCTAAAGTAAACCGCATATCTGACTCATTGGCAGCTGGCATGGTAGGTGATGGTGATTGATACAGACTAGTCACTTGTGTTGACTGTGATGAAGGAACCGGTGCATGCTTCCTCTTCCTAGTATAATGGTCCAAGCCTTGACGAGTTCTCCCTTCAGCATAGCGACCTAGAGAATAGTTCCAGAAATTTGTTCAGAACAATTAACCTTATATGCAAAGTGTAGACATCAAGAAAAATAAGCTACAATGTAAATGTGAATAGTATGTTAGTCACCTTCATAGAGTGGATCTAATTCTTCATAAAGGGGAAATGACCTTTCTTTCCATTGTAGAACATCCTTGCTGTTCTTCCGAGCAGCAAAGCTTGCCCAAACACTATCTGGTGCGTCAACCATTTTTCTGTCCTTATCCCATCCAAAGCCACTTTGATCCAACAATTCTTGAAGACTTCGATAGTCTCTCTTCAGATCTTGCTCCTTTTGTTTGACTTGGTTGAGAGTAAATGATTGATCAAACTTTTGATTTAGTCGAGAAACAATATTTCTCCATGCCTCCTTACTCCAAGCATTATGTGTCCGAAAACCAGGCACATCGTGATCTTTTAGGAGTCTAACAAGGAACAACTTCATTTGGTGACTCCATTTGGCTCGAGTATTAACTTTTGTGAGTCCTAAATATTTAACATAGGTGGAACAATTTAGTTTCTAAACCAATAACACATCGCAACTATTCTTTTTATAACAGTAACACATAACAACTTAATAAAGTTGCACAGCTGAGTTTATCAAAGTCACTGAAACATCAGATCATACATATTTCTGGATGAATACTTGCAGTCCCACCATCTAGTTCAAGATCAATTGCCCCATTGGATTGCAGATGATGGCCTTGTCGCTCTGACAAGAACCATCGATCAGCCATTGGGGACTCCATTTGTTTCGAGTATTACCTTTTATGGCTCCTAAATATTCAACATTGTTGGAAAAATTTAGTTTCTAAATCAATAACACATCACGACTAAAAAAATTGCCCTCTGAGTTTATCAAAGTCATTCAAACATGAGAGCATACCTATTTATGGATGAAGACTTGCAATCCCACCATCAAGTTCAAGATCAATTGCACTATTGGATTGCAGATGATGGCCTTGCCGCTCTGACAAGCACCATCGATCAGCTACCTACATGCATCAGACTATTAATTAGCATACATTCTGTTAGCACATATGCAAGGGCGCCAATGATATTTGTGCAAAAGAAAATCCATGGAAGGGGAAAATTTAGTGCCCTATGCACACACACAAATTACCATGTTCCTATATATGTCATGTGCATTGCGAATTAACTCAAATGTAAGAAAATATATATGTTAGTTTAATATCTATGAAGAAACCGGTCCCATGATGCTCATACAGTGGCAATGAACCAGAAGGAAACTAGAAATACGAGTAGCACCAGAACATGGCCTCACATGTCACTTGGTAGGCTACCAGATTAACTCAAATCTGAGAAAATATTTAGACCTGTAGTTGTAAAGAAAACCCCCAAATCCCCAAACAGTAATCTCAGATCTGAAAAAGGGAAAAAAATCCACAATAGGTTGCAAGCCAATACTCAAAATCAATCGAATATGTGTGTATGGTAGCTACGAATCATGGTAATTGATGCCGAGTAACAATAGAAAAAATACAATTAGCTATTATATGAAGCAAGGGAGGACCGGATCTAGCTTTTGGAGTGGCCTGCAAAGTACCTTGTTGCTGGACATCGAGGATGGGGGCACAGACCAAGAGGCCTGTCCACCAGCAGAGGAGTTGAGCTGAGGGCCGCGCGGCCGGCCGGCCGACCGTGGCGCAGCACGACTAGATCGATGCGAATGGGATGGGGAAAAGCGGTGCTGCAGGAGGGTTTGCTGTTTTGTGTTTTCTGCTGATGTGCTGTCGTGAGGAGGTACGCGAAGCCTTATTATTTACCGCGGAAACTGCGGGTGAGCGAGCGGCGCGCGCGCTTTTCTTCCCGTTAGGATTCTTTCCGAGAGCTCGGACTTCTTGGAAAATTTCCAGTGAAATACACAAGCGAAAGTTCCATAGGATTAATTCCTAAGGATTGAATTCCTGTAAATCAAACAACCATCACAAGAAAAATCCATAGGATTACAATCCTACGAAAATCCTATAGAAATCCTATGAGTCAAAGGAGGCCTTATTTGGGGCCTAAATGCAATTTGGAAAAACGCGCATTTTTCCCTAATTCAAATAAAATAGCAATTAAATCCAAAAAAATCTTATTTGATTTTTTTATTAAATCCTTAATATTTCTTTATTTTTTGGGGAAGTCATTTTATTCCCTCTCTCATATTTTTTTGTAATAGAAATAACTGAAGATAAAATAAATAAAATCAAACGATCCTATTTTCAAAATTTGAGAAAACTCAAATATGAAAACAATGAAATCCCCAACTCTCTCCAAGGGTCCTTGAGTTGCGTAGAATTTCTAGGATCAACCAAAATGCAAATAAAATATGATATGCAATTATGCTCTAGTGTATAACATTCCAAATTGAAAATTTGGGATGTTACAGCGGGATAGACAAGGTTGCTTCTTCGTGGACCCTTCGTGGGTGGAGCCCTCCGTGGACTCGCGCAACTGTTACCCTTTGTGTGTTGAAGTCTCCATCAACGTGGATGTACGATAGCACCACCTATCAAAACCACGCTAAAAATCTCCATGTCTACATTGCGTTTGCTCCCTCCAAACTCCTCCCTTTACCTTCATATGCAATTGTTTTACATTCTGCTGCTATACTCTTAGAATTGCATGTGTAGGTTGTTTTCTTGACTTGTGCTAAGTTGCTAAAATCTGCCAAGAATTAAAATTGGGAAAAGGCTAGATTTTTATTTGGTCAAGTAGTCTAATCACCCCCCTCTAGACATACTTTCGATCCTACAAGTGGTACCGAAGCTTTGGTCTCCATTTACCTTGATTTCCATAGCTTTTGTGATCATACCCTTGGTTTCACAACCTAGGAGATTATGTCGTCTAGTGAGGGAAATTACCACCGTAGAGGTCCTTATTTTGATGGTACTAATTTTGCTAGTTGGAAGCATAAGATGAAAATGCATATTCTTTGACATAACCCCGCCATTTGGGCTATTGTGTGTATTGGCTTGCAAGGTGAATTCTTTGATGGGAGGGAACCGAACCGTGAGGCTAGCGCGGAAGAGTTGAAGATGCAGCAATACAATGCTCAAGATTGTGATATTCTCTTCAACGGATTGTGCCCCGAAGAATTCAACAAAATCAGCCGTCTTGAGAATGCAAAGGAAATTTGGGATACTTTGATTGATATGCACGAAGGTACCGACTCCGTCAAGGAATCCAAATTGGATGTGCTTCAAAGTCAACTTGACAAGTTCAAAATGAAGGACGGTGAAGGTGTCGCTGAAATGTACTCTAGGCTTGCTCCCGTCACAAATGAGATTGCCGGCTTAGGAAGTGAAGAGATGACCTATAGATTCATCATCAAGAAGATCCTAAGAGCCTTGGATGGAAAATATGACACCGTGTGCACATTGATCCAAATGATGCCCAATTACAAAGATCTCATGCCAACGGAAGTCATTGGAAGAATTGTTGCTCATGATATGTCACTCAAGTATAAGGAAGAGCTTCACAATAAGTCAAGTGGTGCTTACAAAGCCTCATGTGATGCTCCCACATCATCAAGTGGGAAACAAAACTTCAATGAAGAATTGAGCCTAATGGTGAAGAACTTCAACAAGGTCTACAAGAGTAGAAGCAAGGAAAGAACTTCCAAGTCAAGGTCCTACAATGACAAAAGATCTTCAAGTCGTGAACGTAATTGCTACAATTGTGGAAGACCCGGACACTACTCCAATGAGTGTACGGCTCCCTACAAAAGAAGAGAAGGTTCTCCCAAAAGAAGGAGTAGGGGAGAAGAATCACCACCAAGAGAGAGAAGGAGTAGAGATGACCGTTATGAACGAAGAACATCACAGAGAAGCAAGGATTCGGAAAGGAAGGACAAATCATCAAGGGGCTACACAAAACAAAGACATCAAGCTCACGTTGGTGAATGGGTATCCGGCTCCGACTCCGACAATCACTACGAGAGAAGTTATCACTCCGACTCCGAATATACTCAAGATGAAGGTGTTGCCAGTCTAGCACTTGTGTCAACCAACTCCTACGACATATTTGAGTCACCAAATGAAGGGATTGGAAGATGCTTCATGGCTAAATGCCCAAAGGTATCACACCCCGAGTATATTGATTTCAATAGGAATGAAGATGATTTGCTAGGTGATGATGATTTACTTGTTGACAACTCTAGTTATGAAAACTATGATGAACTTGCTATTAATCATGCTAATCAAGATAAAACAAATGACAATGATAATAAGGAGATTGATCGTCTAACTAAAGAACAAAACACTCTTAAGTTAGCTCATGAAACTACCTTGGAAGATCATCAAGAACTTTTAAAGACTCATGAGAAGCTACGCTTTGAAAAGCTCAACCTTGAGCACGAGCATGAGTTCTTAAAGGCAATCAATGACGATCTTCGCAAGAAAAGTTCTTATTACATTGCCAAGCGTTTACTTTTATCTAGTTACATGCCACACGTTAAATCTAGCAACATGAGTAAGAAAGATTCTTCTTCTAGTAGTAACAATAATCATGGTAATCTCAATGATGTTGCTTCTAGTAGTTCTCTTGATTCCACTAATGATTCTCTTAGCCAAGTTACACTTGAGCAAGAAAATAGCTTATTGAAGGGAATTATAGAGAAAGATGTTTACAAGAGCCTTGCCGGAAGTAAGCAATTTGAGGAAATTGTACGCAAGCAAGGAAGACACCGGAAGAATCAAGGTGTTGGTTTTGAATGAAAGCTCAATGCCAATGGAGTTGAGTGGGAAGAAGATCAATACCCCAAGACGAAATTTGTTCCTCAACAAGAGAAGTATGATCCTACTTATTTCCAAGGAACACAAGCTCAAGATGATCTTCCACCACAAGAACACAAGCAAAAAGGCAAGGACAAGCTTCAAGAGGAGATTGATTCATTTGAAGAAGCTCCCAAAGCCTTGGTCAAGTGGGTTCCCAAGGCTACATCAAGTTCTACTTCATCAAGTATGACTACAACTCCAAGGATTCCCATCAAGATGGTGTGGATCCCGAAGAAGAAGAACTAGAGAGTTCTTGAGGGTGAATCCGCCAACACGTCACTCATATCATTTTGGCGAGGACAAGTGCAAACAACTTCCATATCTTGCACTACTTCAAGGAGTCACAAACCCTCTTCTTGGTAAGACAAGGGACAAGGTAACCTAATGAATTCATGGACATCATCTCATGTGAATATCACTCTATGTCTATGGATATCCTTGCTTGTTCCTTGTGGTACTAACCCGTGTAGGTATTGAAAGTGCAACTCACTTCAAAGGATTGCTCCAAAGGATCTACATCAACATTGAGCATCTACATCTTCAACACCTACATGAAGTCATCATCGACAAAACCCAAGGTTAGTTCATCCCTCTTAAGGGGGGATATCACATCTAGGGGGAGCTTACTCTAATCAATTGAGCTAAAGCAACTCTAATGGTG